TTAACTCGGTTTATTACATATTAAATTTTCAGAATCACATATTAATTTTTAAAACAAAAATCAAGGCTTATTGTAAATGTTAAAAAAAGATAATATTGAGTAACGCATATGTATTTTCAAAGATATCTAAACCTACCCTAGCTAATAGGATAGCAACAACATCTGTTAACAATAAAATAGAATTAAACACATTCTATTTTATAGTTTACAGATGTTATTGCTACTCAATTAGATAGGGTAGGTTCTGTCTCATCAAAGAGAAAGAGTGTGTCGTTTAGGAAAATATTATCAAAGCTTGAGTGAGTGAGTGAGTGAATGGATGGGTGAATAAGTGAGTGAGTGAATGAGTGGATTTTACCACGGTTTTACGCTCCTTTTGCAATATTCCAGCATGTCACGACGGGGACACTAGGCATGGGCTTCACACACTGTGGGGAATCATTTGTTTGATTGTTTGTTTGTTGTTTAACGCCGCAGTCAGCAATATTCCAGCTTTATGACGGCGGTCTATAAAATAATCGGGTCTGGACCATACAATCCAGTGGTTGACATCATGAGCATCGATCTACGCAACTCGGATACGATGGCATGCATCAGCCAATTCAGCGAGCCTGACCACCCGATCCCGTTAGTCGCCTCTTACAAAAGCATAGTCGCCTTTTACGGCAAGCATGGGTTGCTGAAGACCTATTCTACCCCGGATCTTCACAGCTAGGCTACCCTACGGCCTGGTAGTGTAGAAGGGCATGGTTGGTTATACCTATTGAAACTCCTACTTTATTGATGTATAAACCCATGGAGAACTGCAATGCATTTCTAGTTCAATAATAGATACACTTCTATTCATGACTCAGTTAGCATGTTTGATTTTAGGATACTATTACAGCCAAATGTTTTCGACAATCCACAAGGACACATAAGCTTTCGACATTCTCGTGATAAGACAAGAACTCACAGCACACAGCCAGCCACTGATATCTACACTGAGTTTTTAAATAACTTATCTCTTCGGTAGCAATGTGTGGAATGCAGGGAGGTAGGACCTATTCTACCCTGGATCATCACTGGTCGAGTGAGTGGGTGGGTGGGTGGGTGGGTGAGTGAGTATTGCATTCGAAAAGTATTTTTAGTTATATTCCGATGCGTCAGTTCAATGTGGGAGGAGGTGATGCAGGCACTGGACGTTCGCCGACTTAACACAGCAAGTATGGGTGTGGTGTGACAAACAGTCACAAAGTCAGGTGTGGATTAGAGCACACGACCACAAGTTTCAGCACACCTACAGGGTACTACTGAGCAAGTCAAGGGATATAACAGAAGTATTAATTTAGTCTGTGCACATAAACATGTTGAATAAGTATAGATTTGAATAATCAAGTGGAATTAGTATTCAAACTAGATGTATCAATGTGTCCCTCAGCAGTTTTTTGTTTAATTGATATACACTGCACTCAGTAATATTGTGGCTGCACGTGGACAGAGTAATGAGTAATGTTGATATCAAATACAATTTTGAAACAAGAATCATCAGGATTTTTAGTTTGTTTGTTGTTTAACGCCGCACTCAGCAATATTCCAGCTATGTGACGGCGGTCAGTAAATAATCGAGTCTGGACAAGACTGGATTGATATCATGAGCATCGATCCACGCAACTGGGATCGATGACATGCATCAACCAAGTCAGCGAGCCTGACCACCCGATCCCGTTAGTCGCCCCTTACGACAAGCTTAGTCGCCTTTTACGGCAAGCATGGGTTGCTGAAGATCTATTCTACCCCGGATCTTCAGGAGGTGAAATATGCAATACGGACATTCAGTTATACCCCACTTTGGATCACTGCCATTGCACGAAAATAATAATGCTGTTCAGTATATTTCAATATCCAAATCATCAAAAGGCACCAGTTTATCACAAGACCGATCTGTATAGCATGTTTCATCAAGAGCTATTAAACGATTAAGGAGTTCTGCTCCTGAAACGGAAAACGTACATCCGACGGACGGACGGACATACGGAAACCTGGGGGATAATGAACAAAACATATTCTCTTACATATGAACACATCTGATACCTTTCATAGTTTTCTAGGGCATCCTCGAGTTATACAGTGTATATGCATCTTCATTCTGTTACAATATATACCTAATTACCGGATCGGAAGTAACCTCACAAGCACTAGCGTCCTATCGCTAATCTAGCACAGACTTCCTGTCTATCCTGAGAATAATTCCTTTTGGATGGCTATGTTGAGTGTTGTGATATTTGAACCACCTCATGGTCTAGTGAATACATCGTCTTTCCGGAGAGCGGGAGGTTGGTGGTTCGATCCCAAGCCTCACGTCATAACAAAAATACGGTAGAAGATGGTACTTGTTGTTACCCTGCCTGGCGCTCGGCATAATGGGGATAAAACAACGACTGCTCGGTATACTGTGTCTGAGTGGGGTATTCACGTTAACTGGGACACACACACACACGTCGCTATGTAAGTGCCATTATCTTGAACAGAGGAGGTTAAGCTCCATTTCACCTCACCTCGAATTTGGCTCATAAGGAAAAAGGGGGGTGGGTGGATTTCAATGGCTTGTTAAAGTGAAAACTGAAATACACAACAGGTGAGGTGAAATGGGGTTTAAACCGACCAGCGCCAGACAGGGTAACAACAAGTACCATCGTGTAACGTCTTTTGGTATGATGCGGCTTGGGATCTAACCCACTCCCCGTGCAGACGCTCTATCCATCGGACCATGGAGGCGGTCGAAATACACAAAAATAGAGTACTGAAAACAGGATGCAATAAATATCTACTCCTGAGTATACTGAATGGTAGCCGACAAACTGATAACAGCATGACATAGCGGATAGACCGATATCAGCTTTACATATATCAGACAGTGAGGCGGACATACTGGACTGCGAGTGAGTGAGTTGTATTTAACGCTGCTTTTAACATGATACATTATTCCAGTTGTATCACTGCGTGTCAGCTTAATGTGGGAGGAAAGCCCGAAGTGATGCAGGTCTCAGACGTTTACCACTTCGGTGAAACCCACGAGCATGGGTGTGGTGCTGACAAACCTAGAAACATAATCGGGGCGAACAGGGATTCGAACCCACAATCATAGGTTTCTGGCTTGCCCAAGGGACGCTACTCTGCACAGCGAACAGCGGCGCCTTAGACGAATGGGCCACCCGTGCCCCCCACTGGAGTGCGAGAAGCTTCAGAATGTCATGTTCAGAAACCAAGTGTTTGGTACTCGTTACAGATACTCCCTCTTTACCTCAGCTTTGATAAAAGTCATCTACCATGCTAATTAACACATTTTAATTAATGCAAATACATGCATTGACATGAAGCAATCACTTCCAATGTGATTCCATAATGACTATTAGTGTCGTTCAAAAATTACAACACCGATGCTTGTGTGTTGATTTCTGTGTTGCTGGTTTTATTTAACTATGGCAAACAAACATTCACAAAGCCAAAACTCCAACGCTTAATCAACTGTTATCTTTGTGTGAGGAGGCCAGGTGTTCCCAGTTAGAGGAATATCCTATAAAAAAAATATCAAGTTACTAAGGTCAAGAGCACCGAACACGCCAATATCGTAAGGAGTTACGTTGACCTTTTAAGTCAACCTATCAAAAGCCAGAATAACCCTCAACGTGTTTCTGAAGAGTACATAAATTCTGCCAAGTACATATTGTATATTGAACTTACTAAAAACACCCTATTTGCAACAAACGCCATTCTTTAATTTCATGAAATTAAAAAGCCTTACTTCATGGTATGGTAGGGTCTTGTGAACATACCCTGAAAATATGAACAACATGTCCAGTGGTTTCCCAGACAAAGCAAATTTGGTTCACTAAATTGAGCTGCTGCATAAAAATATTGGTCTGTTCAGTAGATTTGGAGAGATGATTATAGGTTGGACAGACTGACGACTTAAGAAGGCCCATAAAGGCTCATATTGACACGTTTGCTTAATTTTTCCAAATCCGAATGGTCAGTGCACTGCCACCATCTTTCAATACCCGAGTGGGGTGGTCCAGTAGCCTTGTGGTTAAAGCGTTCGCCCCTCACGCCCAAGGCACGGTTTCGATTCCCGACATGGGTACAATGTGTGAAGCCCATTTCTGGTGTCCCCGCCGTGATATTGCTGGAATATTGCTAAAAGCGGCGTAAAACCAAACTCACTCACTCTCCAAGTAGGAGATATGGTTCCAGAAATACCGAGAGGATGCTTGTCACAGCAAGATGCATCACAAATCCCATTTGACATGAATATCATTGCTTTTTAAACTGTTGTAAATATAGAATTCTAAAACAAATTAGACTGAATACAAGCTACATGATGATCACATTACAGTATCTTTGAAAGGTAAACAACATAATTCATATTGGTATATTTAACCCAGCACACTAATGAAATTGTCTTCACCTGCGAATATTTAAAAAAAATCCTTTCATGTTAATTCACTTTCATTTACATCCATAGTTTACTTTTGTGATCCATCTACAGTAAGGCTAACAGAAAGAATAGATCAGAAAATACCTGGATCAACAAGCCATAATATTTTGTCAATATTCGGTATATAACGGATGACTTCTGTAACCAGTGAACAAGCCCCAAATATATGAGTTTGGTTATTGCCGCAGTGAAGAGCATTTCAGTCATGTAAGTGCACGTCAGTTGATGTGAGAGGAAAGACTTAATAGATGGTTTGAAACATGGTGCTGACAAACGTTAAACCACAATCAGGATGAATCTGGGATTCGAACCCATGACCACAGCTTTCTGGCACATCAAAGGGATGCAATCCTGAATGAATTGTGGCCACTTTGACTGTACCACACATACTCCTCTCCCAACATACAAGATAAAGTATTGTGCCCATATAGTGTTCTTTTATAGTCAACTAAACCTTTCCATCTGTACGTTCCTAAACTCAGCCTATGTTTTTGCCACCTTAATATCAATGAATATCACAATCTTAACACATATGGATCACTTTTATTTACAATAAAATACAGAACACTGTGTGTACAAAGACTACACTGATGAATGCTTAGGACAAATTCAATATATACACTGTACATGTCATGAAAAATGTTTCCAATGAGATAACATGATGTGGTTTAAAATCCTGATACTCCTTGGATAATAAAAACATTCAACACATCCTCAACTTTAAGAACCATTCTAATTTAACATGTCACTCAATAGATTTAACAGCCACATTTAAAATAATAGATGCATTAATTGATAACACAGAAAAATATACAACAAGAAATTGCAAGGCTAACATTATTCCCCCACATGAATGTGATCTATGCACAACAAACAGTTTATCTTACATGTGATAAAATAAACAGTAATACCTATAACTATTGAATGTGAGCTCAATGAATGAATTTGTGCTGAAATTATTGCTGCGTATGATAAAATTCCTTTGGTACATGACATTTGAAACCTTTCAAATTTCAGGACAAGAGATGAAAATGATAAGTCAATGGAAGTTACAAAAGTTCATATATTAAACTTCTGGCGAGATGACGAAGCATAGCAATTTTGGGGTAGAACACGCAAAAACTATACTCTTTTACTAATTGCATCCTTGGTCAATTCTACCCTCAACTGAAGACATTCCACCATCACGTCTACAGATAGATTCCTGTTTGACTTCCAGGAAGTCGTCATTAAATCCCTGATCAGTGTACACGGCGTGCAGCTGGGCCGCTTCACAAAACATCCCTGGTCATAGTCTCATCGAATCACTTGCTGCGGAACACCAGACATGAAGCCACTGAAACCAGCAGCTTGCAGAGCCTGTGCTGAGGGCATCAACAGGTGGTTAGCACGCACAGCATCAGAAAACAGTGCATGGTAGTTAGGCAGAGGAACATATGCTGCTGTGATCACTCGACCTGAAAGAGACATGTATTGTTCAGGACCCTGTTCCGCAAAATAATCATAGTGCTACAACTGTCACAAGTCTATGCTAAAGTATGGAAGTTACAATTACCTTACCGCTGCGATCACTTTGTGGAACGGGGCCCTGGGCTTTATCTAGGATTTCAAACTAATTGCTCATTGCAGAAAAGTTGGAATTGCTTTCAAAAATTTGCTCAATATTGGGATTAAACTAAAGTTTTTTATTTCCTGAAATTCATAGGTATCTTACCAATGTCTTCTCAGCATTGCATCTCATGCAATACTCTACAACTAGGCATGAAAACCTCTTCCTCTTTATCATGTTTATTATCCACATTATCAATGAAATATAAGTCTCTACAAGGACAATACACTAGTATTTCACCTATAACACGGCATGAATGCTCAATGTGGGAGGAGAGCCCAAAGTGAGGCAGGTCTTAGATCTTTAAAAATTCGGTGAAACTAACGAGCACAGGTATCGTGTCGACAAACCTAATACATCATCAGAACTTGGGTTTGAACCCATGAAAATGTTTGTCATACCCAAGACATGCAACTCTGCACAGAGAATTGTGGCGTCTGACACAAATGGACCACCTGTGCCCCCTAGTTTGGCGATTAGCAATTTAAAAGTAAAACTTATTGTTCCGACAAGTACCCAAATTGAAGTATCATTCAAGCTACAACATCATCAACCAAGTTCAACAGAATTAAATATAGGACTCCTGAAAAGTGTCCTGCTCCATGTGTCTATTTGCCTCAGGAGCAATGCAACTTGTGAAAAGGAAATGCAATATTTGAAATACGTACCTGCAAAGTACCTTCCATGAAGAGAGTTGACTGATGCAACAGCAGCAGCAATACTTGGACACTTGACATAGACATTGCCCTGTGGCGACGCCTTATCCACATAAATATGCAATACTCCACCATGTTTATTACATTCTTCTATCACATCATCTCGGATCTCTTGATCCCAGCTGCTTCGCGTCTCTCTGTGGATGATGCAACAAGAAGAGCTGACTAGGCATATTTGTAAAGTGAAGAGCACTGGGGCCTTGTGATATGAACAGCAACAATATACAAAAAAACAATAATTCTTTGTTTAACACAGTGGTGGCCTGGACCTGATCAACCAATGGTTGGTATGACAATGCTCTATGTTGTCAGAATGTGACAGGTAATAGTTCCCTGGTAGTCATTTGTCAACTCATAACATACAACCATTGTGACAACCAGAACCCAACTCTTTAATTCCTCTTGCATGAAGAACCAGGAAACACGTACGTGCTACAAGCTTCATGATCAGTCAAATTTGAGCATGTGACCTTAGGCAGCCAATCAAATTACAGCAATGGTACCGTCCTCGTGTTTGATAAATGTCAGATTTTGACGTAAGGTTTTTGCTAAATTGTGTTATTCTGAATGTTCAAAGCAGGAAATCACAATTTACATTAAAAATATGGAACTTCGTGGATGTGTCGTGCTAGGTTACGACCTGCGAGAAAGGATTTTTCATGCATATATTTTGGCATTAAACATCGTGTCTGAGACGAGAAATCGAGGTGATGAAAGACGATGTCATTTGACTTGCATTACACACGAACGCATGAAATGATGGAAATAACTTAGATGTAAGTTTGACAACTTTCAGATACATTTTTGTTGATTTTATTTATCACTTGTTATAATATATATAAAGATTTGCTTGAAACGTCCTAATTTTGCTCTTTGACATGTTCGACGTGGAGCCGTTGTCAAAGGGTGTGTCAGAGAATATTTTTTTCAATAACATTGCGGGAAATAGTAAATAATTTTTTAATCTATCGATAGTGAGTGAGTGAGTGAGTATGGTTTTACGCCGCTTTTAGCAATATCACAGCGGGGGACACCAGAAAGGGGCTTCACACATTGTACCCATTTCGGGGAATCGAACCTGGGTCTTCGGCGTGACGATCGAACGCTTTAACCACTAGGCTACCCGACCGCCTCTAATCTTTCGATAAAAAATGATAAATTGAAATGGAATACGTATTTCAGACATTGTGAAATGTGCTAGATTTTAATATATGAATGAAATGACAGGTGGGTTCATAAAATTATATACTATTTTGATGTGACTTGGCCGGTCTTCCACCCTGCGGTGTCCGGAGACTTGAGGCTTCTTGGCCCGTGTACCGGCCTACGGTGTTGAAAGAGTTAAACACTGTTAAGAAATAACTTTTCTACTCAAATTTTGTTTTTGTATGGTAGAACACTTTTTGGCTTACACCATGCAGTCGTTAGAGTTAGGTTTGCAGGGAAATGGGACACCATAGCCTTGACCCAGTCATTTCATACTTCAAGTCACACTATGTGTGGTCAAAAGAGGTCACAGGGTAAGCTTCATGGGTGTATAGATACGAAAGATTTGCATAAGTAAAACACATCCATCCTGGGTAACCAGGCAGTTTTGAATAAAACATTTGTTGACACAACTCTAGAAAATATCAAAACTTATGACAGACTAATTCTAATAACAAGCTTTGCATATCACATTTCAATTCTACTTACGTGTTAGGATCAAACATGTTGGAAAGCATGAAGCACTGTGTTGCTATAGGAGGGGCCCCGCCCCCTGCTGATGGGGCTTGCGTTGATGCCGCTGCTGCTGCTGACCCTGTAGCATTGGCCACAGCAGCAGTCAGGGTTGCACCTGGTGCAGTTCCAGCCTGATTCAATGCATTAGCTGCATACTGGGGGATTTGGAAGCCGGTACCTATGAAGACAGAGTAACAAGTAGTATTAGTTTTATCTATAATATATTGATTATTTATGTTTTTCTTTCCAACAAATTTCTTTAGGACAATGTTTGTTGTTTAATGCTGCACTCAGCAATCTTACTCCTATATGATGGTGGTCTGTAAATAATCAACTCAATCCAGTGATTGTCATCTTTAGCATAGATCTAGGCAATAGGGATACCATAACATGCATCAACTAAGTTTGTGAGACTGACCACCCAATCTGTTAGTTGTCTCTTATGACAAGCATGGGTTGCTGAACACCCAATTCAAACCCCGATCTTCAGGAACAATTAGTATATTCAGAGTGTATTACTTTTGATCCATTATACATTAATCATACATGATCAAATTTCGAAAAAAAAGATCCTTAGGGGTGTATTTTGTGTTTGAACAAGATCAGACTATTACAAGGAGCAAGAATTGTTTTTCTCTGCAGTTCTGCGTTCAGCAATCAACCATGACATACAATCATTTCAGTTGGCTCTTCCACAAGCATTGGTACTGGGGGCCTGCAATGCAAAGTAATCCCCCAAACATGGGTGTTTGAAACCCAACAATTTAAACAAACAGCCCTGATTACACATACCTTCAGCAAGCTTGGCCATAAGTTGGAGTCTGCCTGTGGCCCCGAGGTCAATACCAGCCCGATCCATCTCATCACTGTCCAGTATCGATGCTCCCTGACTCTCTGCTGTCCTTTCCGTAACATGACCTACTTTCATGGGTCGACCAGCAAGCTCGAACCCATTCAACTGTTCAAGAGCCTTCTTTGCATCTTCTGCATCAGTAAACTGAAACACCATTGATCATCGTTAAAAGGGGGAAGTCATAAGGTGTGCGTGTGAGTGTGTTCTAGTTCGGACTGATGCTTAGTTCATAGTGCTAGCCCACCAAGATACCTTGTCAGACTTCAACATGAATACTCCACAGGGTTAGAACTCAACTCAAGTGAACAATCTCAATTGGAAGGGGTGCTAATGTACGCAAGACTTATTTATTCGTGTATAATACGCACTCTTGTGTTATATGCACCCTGAAATTATGGGCAATTAAATTCTGGAAAAATATATCTGTCGTATATAAACAGTCAGGCCGTCAGCATAAACCACGAAATTTATCTTTCAACTCTGTTTCTTCCACAAAAATAATATTCTAATAAGAGCCCCCTATTTCTAATTTTGAGAGCGCCCTGGGTGCTTATAACGTTGAATACGGTAATTTAGAAAAACAACAATTTCCTATAGATCATTAGAAACAAATATGAAGATGTCCAAACAAATTCATGCTAATTTCTAATTTTGTAACATGTACCATGGGCCAGTGGCTTTAATATTAAAATAAAACTGTTAATCATTTAACTGGGTTTTACATTTTTACATAACATTTTATCAGTTCTAACTGTGTACCAAAAATGTTAAAATCGAGTCTGGTGATGAACTTAACCCACAATACATATTCATAAGATGACGTTCACATGAACCAACATTACCCACCGACATGAAGCCATAGCCTTGAGAGCGTCCAGTTTCATGATCCCGAATTAGTTTAATGTCATCAATCTGAAAGAAGGAGACAATTAGATATTAAATAAGACAAACATTAACATTTAAAAGAAAAATCTAAATCAATGTTCAAATTTAGGAATGTGATTAAAGGTATCTTTTTTATGATGAAGAAAAGATTCAGGAGTGCTTGGATTCCATTTACAAACAACAGTCATCAGAAAATGACAAATCCCCCGCCCCCCACAAATTTGAAATAACAAATCATCTGAATGTTATTTCTTAGTCCAACTTAAGAGAATTTCTATCTAATCTGTCTGTCTGGGGACAAGAGTAATCATTGAGGCATCAAAACAATCCCATGAATGTGGGTATTTGGAACTTTGTATTTCTATGTCAGGTACACAACAATATGAACAGTCAGGGTCAAACTGGTTGCCATGAGAAGGAAAAAATCCGTAAATTATAAAAAAAATCCCTAAATAGCAAATGGCAGCTTTGACAATCTGGTCTTCGTGTGTGCACAGTTTAAAGAAAGAGTACCTATGACTTTTAGAGAGATGGTTCAGATAAACACACCATTATGAACCAGTCAAAGTCAAACTTGTTTCCATAGAAACGGAAAAATCAATTCCTTTATAGCAAAAGGCACCACTTCAGCCCTTGATTAATACATGTAGCAGGGTTTTTTATGAAAGGTATTTCACGGTTTTCCAGTTGTGCTCTGGAAATGAAATCCACCACCCCTTTTGAGACTTAGGTCCAAATTGTTTCTATGGAAATTGAGAAAAACAAAAATGCCAAAAATCTGCAAATAGCACAGGCACCACTTTTAAAACAAGAGTCATCAGAAAGATGACATATCCCCCCCGGCAGCTGTCTGTAAAGTAACCACTAGTAAATGTGCAATTCTGTATGTAATGAGTCAACAGCTGAATGTTCTTTTAGAAGCATACATTGTTTAACCTACTGAATGGTTTTCGAATTCTGGCCCGGAAACGAACCCGTTCCCCAATGGAGACTAGGTCCAACTTCTTTACATAAAAATTGTAAAAAATAAAAATTCGTAAAAAAAATAATATCAAAAGGCACCACTCAGTATGTGCCTGATAGCTTTGCCAAGTTTCCATCAAATACACTGAATGGTTTTCGAATTCTGCCCCGGAAAGGAACCCCATCCCCAATTGAGTATGTCCAACTTCATTCCATAAAAATTTAAAAAAATAAAAATGAGAAAAATCCCAAAATATCAAAAGGCACCACTCAGTATGTGCCTGATAGCTTTGCCAAGTTTCCATCAAATACACTGAATGGTTTTCGAATTCTGCCCCGGAAAGGAACCCCATCCCCAATTGAGTCTATGTCCAACTTCATTCAATAAAAATTTAAAAAAATAAAAATTAGAAAATCCCAAAATATCAAAAGGCACCACTTCAGTATGTGCCTGATAGATTTGCCAAGTTTCGATCAAATACACTGAATGGTTTTCGAATTCTGCCCCGGAAAAGGAAATGATTACGGACGGACGGACAGACGGACGGACAGACAGACTGGCTGATCGCTATATCCCCCCGCATTATATGCCGGGGGGATAAAAAGAAAAAAGCAGTCAGTCTTAATGCCTGACACTAGTGACAAAGCTATTACAAGTTATTGAATCTTGTTAATTTAAGCTATGACACAACAAAAAAGAAGTTTCTGTTTAAAGTAAAAATTTATAAATATAGACAGTTTACAAATAGATGTTTTTTAATGACATATGTATTCATCATACAAGATATTTAACAGTTGATGAAGAAAGACATGTCTTACCTCACCAAATGGAGCAAAGATACCCCTCAACATATCTTCGGTAATGTTGAAATGAAGAGAGCCCACATAGAGTCTCATGGGACCTGACGTTCCCTTCTGCAATAAGCTTGTGCTGCTGGCAGTTCGGTTCTTCTCTGCCTGAGAACTCTGTACAATGATGGGAACACCCAGCAGCTTTTGATTGTTGAGACCCATTGCTAGAGGCACTGAATCAGTCTCGGCGAACTCCACATATGCAATGCCCTTTGACCGTCGAGTTTTGTTGTCTGTAATAAGACGTACATCTCGAACCTGCAAGATAAAAAAAAATTCAATTGTCACATTTTTACATCACATTCCATTCAAACAAGTCCATACACAAATTTTGTACATTTCATTTTGAGGGAGTCCTAATTTATTCTAAACACTTGTAACATTGGTGAATTCTCATAGTTTTAGAGCTTGTTACTAATGCATGATCAGGATGGTATCACAATAATGATAAAAATAGCAGTTAGAACACTGCAACACTATTGATGTGAACAAATGTGTTGTTGCTTGCTGACAAGGTGTGAGGTGAGGTGAAATTGGGTTTAACGTCGCGTCCAAGATTATTGCACTTATATAGCGACGTGCATGCACGTGTATGTGTGTGTGTGTGGCTGCTTGTACTAGTCAGGACTGATGCCGATTTATAGTGCTAGCTCACTGAGATACCATGCCGCAGTTTAACATGAATACCCCACTCAGACACAGTATACTGACTCCGAGCCGACCAGTCCTTGTTTTAGCCCCTTAATGCCGAGCGCCAGACAGGGTAACAACAAGTACAATCTTTTAACGTCTTTTTGTATGACGCGGCCCGGGATCGAACCCTGGACCTTCCGCTCTCCGGGCGGACGCTCTACCACAAGACCACGGAGGCGGTCTGACAAGGTGTGAAGGTGATGACTTGCGTACAAATATATTATCACCTAGCTTCAGAAATAGATATATATATAAAATGTAATTCCAAACCTGACATCCATCAAATACATTTGATTTGCAAAGTTGTTCCAGTTTTAATTACATGGATTTCAAAATTGCAGCAAAGGGATTGCAGCATGTTTCTCAAGGACATTGGTTCAGCATTTGGATTTGAACATCAAGAAAATTGAAAGGGCCACCTTGAAATCATTACTGGTTTATCATGATGCTTTCATTTGTGTGTGTGCGGCAACCTTACCTTTCCAACTGAAGAGAAGAATTCTTCCAGGTCCCTTGGTCTGATTCTTGCCGACAGCTGCATACAAAATATTGTCCGAGCATCCCTTTCTTCTGGTGTCAACTCGGGGAGGGTCTCTCTGTGGGAACAAAATCAATTAAAATTTGAGAAATTTAGGAATAAAACAGGTACCGTATATAACCGTGGATAAGCCGAATTTTGAGGACCAGAAAAAAGATTCTGAATGATGATCCGATAGATTACAACTTCCCGAAAGTTTGGAAGTTGCCACGACTAGAGCCATTATTGTTATAAATTATCAATAAACTTATTATTATACACCAATGTTGTCATTTAAAAAAAAATATTTATGAATGTTTCAATTGAATGTTCAAAGTTTATTGTTCTTCATTAACTCAACAATCTTTACATTTAACAATATATGTAATCCGCAGCTAAAATATATAATCCACAGATGAAATCGCCAATAGCTATTTTGCAAAAATCATAAATTGATAGTGAACAAGTATCTACCTTTATTGAAAAAGGCAAATAAACAACTGTAACGGCGAGTTATTCCATTCGCCATTTGCAAAAACATGTGATCAGCTGTTTCCTGTGACGTCACAAACGGTGACCACTGTGATTGCTTCCTGTTGTTTAAAAGGCAACACGGTACTCAAGGAAATGAGCACTGATAATAAAGGGGCCGATTGGTATTGTTATGTTGTTTACACACACAAACACTCTCAAGTTGTGGGTGCTTAGCGGTTATGTTTGGAGTAGGGGCTTAATTCCTTTGTTTTCGAGAGATTAGTTTAATAAACTGGAGAAGCCTGTGAGTAAGTGATGGTCATTTAATTTGATAATGTATATATGTTTTTATTTAGTTATTTGTACACAAAACAATAACCAAAAATACAATGATTTGAAACTAAACATTTGACTTGTGTTTTCATTTGTTAGTACATTTTCTCACAGGTTCATAATTCTATATACACCGATTCACAAAATGGCGCTCATAATGAGATTAAAAAAAGACAAGAGAAACAGCTTCCCACATTATGAAAGTGGATGACTGGTTTGTTAAATCTTTATTAGAAATAATAATGACTTTTTCAATATAATTACAACGTTTTTCATCTTATATTATTGAATATCTGCGAGTACCGACACATGTCTTGCAGTCCGACTTATCAGTGTTTTTTGCCTTTCACTTCCTGGTTCGGCTTATCTGCGGGTCATATCATTTTCTTACGTATTTCAATGGTCAAATTAACATCTCGGGTTATCTACAGGGTCGGCTTATCCGCTGTCATATACGGTAGGTGTTCAGATTGTATTGTATCAGAATATAATGATTCTGTGATCCACTAGTTCTGGTAAGGGAATCATCACAAGATGTTTTGAATTGTTCATACCTGACTGGACTTTTGCTTATACTTCTTGGTCGACGTCTTTCTTTTGATCGACTCCGCCTTTTTCTGATGGGAGATTTGCTTCTACGTCTTTCTTTCTCCTTGCTTCGACGTCGCCGATCTCTATCTCTGCTTCTGCTCCGCTTATCTCGGCTCTTGCTTCGACCTTCACCACCTCTTCGTTTCCTATCACGATCTCTGCAAAATAAATTACCAAAACATTTACAGTTTGAATTTGGTACAATGGTCCTCAAATACTCTACAAGTAATCATGTTTCTAACTCTGAATCCACATTCAAACCTAAAACCATCTTATTATGAGACATGAGGTCATATGGCAGTTACTATGACAAAAATTGCTCCAGCATATCTAGTGATTTTACACTAAATCATTCTACTTTTCTCCAACGTAAAACTAAACCTTTGTAGAGGTAAAACATTAGCCAACTTATACATAAGCATGGTTTACAAGTCAGACAAGCTAAATAATCACTTGCAAAATGATACTTAGAGAGGAATGTTAACATGTGATAGTGTTGCTCCCCTTGGCTTACATAATATAAGCAAACAATTTCTGTCTCCATTCTACAAAAAGTTCTTGCAAAGGTAGAAAGCCTGGACAGAACACTGATTATAGTCTTTGGGTTAACAAATGGAAAAGAAGAAGACAAATCCCCCCGTCCCACAAATTGGAAAGAACAAATTAATATGACTGTTACTTTAAGTACAACTTGATAAAATAATTCCTATCTAATCAATCTGTATACAAGGGTAGTTATTGACCTATAAAACAATACCATCATGGCATGGAATTGGGACTTGAAACTTTGTATTTGTATGTCAGGTACACAGCATCAAACTATAAAATCTAAATCTAAATTCTAAACATCGCTAAATTACAAAAGGCACCCAGTTGACCACCTGGTTTTTGTATGAGCAGTTTCAAGAAAGAGTACCTGTTAGTTTTAATGGTTAATACATATATACCAGGTTTTGATGACGAGTCTTTCAGAGTTTCCAAGTTGTGCTCCTGAAATGACACCTACACCCACCCCAACCCCATTAAGTCCAAATTGTTTCCATGGAAATCGAGAAATATGAAAATGCAAAAGGCGCCACTTCAGGATCTGTTGGATATATTTGCCAGGTTTTGTTGAAAAATATTGAATGGTTTTCGAGTTACTCTCTGGAAAAAAAACCATGGACGGATGGACGGACAGACGAGGTATCAACTATATCCCCCACATTATATGCGGGGGAGGATAAAAATAACAACATAACCTCATTGTTTACAAGTTACATGAAATAATCGTTGTGGTAGCACAAAATAAAAAGTTCTCATTTTACCTTTTCCTGTCACGGCTTTTACTTCGGCTCCTCTTCTTTCTGCTGAGAACAACATATCTAGTTCAACATATAATGTTAAACTTCATCTAATACCCAAAAGAGTCTTAAATTGTTAAACTTTAAGCTGAAGTTATGAATAATCACTTTTAAGCAGTTACATTAATTACCCAAAGAGACTGAGCAGTGAAATGGGAAAGCTGATTACAACTTTTGAAATCCTTGCTCATATTGGTATCTTATGACAATAGTTAACTAACATCCATCACACTCAATTTTATTTAGCAGCGCACTATAAAACACAATGCAAATACTGTTTCCAGAACTTGCAAAAATATAGTAAATTTGACAGCTCATATGCAGGCACTTATGAATCAGATTTCATAAACTGTTTGGCAAACAGCTCCCTATGAAATAAATACCTCATGGACACAATTAAGGAAACTCTGCATCAACCTCTGCAAGTAGCAGTTTGTTCTATGTCCCTTACTTCTATTCACTACAGTGAGCGAGTCCTGTACCCCATTGAACATAGGGCTCACATACCTGGTTAACGCTCAGGTTAGCATCAATTTCAAAGACCTTGCTCTTATAGCACTCAAAGAGATACCTATTTCAATATACAGAACAAATTACAATTAGAAAGGTGGCCGAAGAGTTGTTAAGATTCGGGATAGCTGCACCCTAGAAAGGAAATAAAACGCTGATGAATGACTCCATCATGAGCACAAAATCTGGAATATTGTAGTCATCTCATCCCTTCTTAAACGAGGGAAAGGACCATTTCCATTATTTGTGGTGATAGATCTTTCCTTTGAGAAACAGCCAAACAACAAAATTAATTTGAGAAACAGCATGGTCAACTTTTCTTCAGGATGTAGGGCTCCACACCCAAAAGCCTACAGAAACCATCATATGTTAGATTGAAACAGCTGGTATTCTGAAGAGAAGATAAATACTGGGAGTGTGTTCTACATAGTTGACACTATCTTGCTTCCAATACTTGCCTGAACACAACACTGTCTGACAGCTATCTGATCTATTTATTAGTCTGGACTTTCCCTCAACACTTTAAGGTCCATTGATAAACAATCCTGCCTTTCACAAGGTCATTGATTTCCTGGTGAGTTGGGGTGCAGGATAAACACCCTCAGCAGCTACTTCATTCCTTATAAACAACCTTTTGCACAACTCTGTCTACACTATGCAACTCATCTACAAAGATTACTGGTTTTAACACTAACCTTTTCTTATCTTCATGAGATCCACTTCCTTTTCTTTCTCCCTGCGAGGCCAAAACAGCACATTGATGAAATCAGCACAGCAATGGGTGAAGGAAGGAGAACAAATCACAAAGCATTAGTTCAGGTGCAAATTAAAAAGGCCCTGTTACAAATGTTACCCCTAGAATATCTGACATGTCCCACATTACCATATCTGGGCTGAAACAAAAGGTGTCAATTTATCAGCAAACTTTGGGACCCTAACACAGAAGATTGGAAACTTTCAAAATTTGAACTTCTTTCCATTCCTAATACTCATAGTTACTTTACTAGTGACAGACACTGGAGTTTATGACTGAATTTTGATGCTTGCCAACTATTAAGAACTGAGAATTGCGAACTGAAATTAGAAATACTGAAGACTCCTCTATAATTTGGAAAGTTTCCAATCTGCTTGCCAACATCACAACACTATCTTGTCGAGCACACATACAACATGATTCTTAGTATTGATGCAAGGTGATTAGAAATCCAGTTCTTTGTGGAGCGGACTTTGATGAATCATGGCATTAAGTCAGGATGCTAAGATTCCCCACCGGACGGGCTGGCTCCAACAGCTGCTGTCCAACGTCCATGTGTTATCTGAGGTGAGATGGAGGGGCAAAATTTCAGTTGGCTTTCTCATACTCAAATTATACAGAATAACAACTTATGTTTTTGTTTAAGAATGAAGTCACTTAATCAGCTGGAATAGAAGCTCTCATCTGAACTGGCAAATAGCTTAAAGCGATTTTGCTTGAAGTGGTCCCATTGAATCAGATGTGATCAATCTTGTTATTTGTATACATCTTCAGATAAATGTGCATGCATAGGTTTGGTACTTGGTCCATGGGATGGCACTTATCTCATTTGCGACTGTTACTTATTTGAAAACTTATACTTAATTATTGACCAATATACAAGAAACCATGAATACAAGTGAGATGCTTTTCTTGTTGTTGCAAGTGGGGGATACCTGGATTTCTGTCATGTATGCCATGAAGCACAGTAGGGGATAGCTGTACATGTAACAGAGTTGGCAATCTAAGACGAAAAAAAATCACCAGCATAAATATTGTATTCAGTCCAGTTGTAAAACAAGTTTTAACAAAGTTATTAACAGGACACTAACAGAACGCATCAAGAAATTCCCAATCCAAATTTTACAAACACAAAGCAAGTGCAAAACAGTCCTGTACATAATGGAACTAATCAACTTCATGAGAAGGATAAAATAAGGAATCAAACCAAATATATCCATGAAAAGAATGAGTACATATATTGTACTTTGCAAAACTGATACACACCACTGCACAATGTCCATATTACATAAGGATCTACATAATAACAGGTCTTGTGTATCTTAAAGAGGATCGCTCATACTCAATCACCTCACCTTGTCACAGATACAATTTTTATGCACCGTCTTGTCCAATTGTTTTTGATATCCTAAATTTTAACCTGTGTGATCTGTAACAATGTAAACCTGCTGCTAAAGTATATCATCATGATCATCTTTCACTGCACACTTGAAATATCCTGAAATATTACAAGTTGGTCACATCATGATAGTAAAACTCATGCATGCAACTAAATACTTACAAGGCACACTTGCAGCATAGCATATACGCTTACAAATGATATGTGAAAGCTGTCACTTCCCAAATCATGTTGTTACAACAAAGTATTAAATGCAAATAACTGTGCTTAGTGACTCTTTCAACCCATACTTTATCACATTTGCACAAATATGTCCATGTTGGACATTCAGAAATATCTTACATTTGACGTAACCTTTGAAATGCAACCTCTTTCAAATCATTGTGTTGGCCATTTAGAAATAGCAATGTCTCATATAAAAACGAACCTCTTTATTGAAGGGAGCCTCTAACATTGCCTCGACATCAAAATCCTCAGACATTGTTCCTGTTGAAGAAGACCTGTGTGGAATAAAGATATACAGTATTAGTATTAAGATACTGGAGCATTTGATATTGGATATTCAGCATTCTGACCCCTTCCCCCCTACACCCACACCCCGGTTGCTTTTTTTCCACCAAGGAATTGATGATATAATTCAGTTATAGATATTTTTAGCAGTAATATTTACCAATTTTGTATGCTAAAGTTGGGTATATAAAAGTATTAAAACAAGTATAAAGAGTGAGTGAGTGAGTGAGAGTATGGTTTTACGCTGCTTTTAGCAATATTCCAGCAATATCACGGCTGGGGACACCAGAAATGGGCTTCACACATTGTACCAATGTGGGGAATCGAACCGGGGCCTTTGATATGACGAGCGAACGCTTTAACCACTAGGCTACCCCACCTCCCCACAAGTATAAATAATCAACATTGTGATAACACAAAGGTATCAAAGCATGTTAGTAGTACAAAATTTCCTAATAAATGTTTTTGTTTCCACAGAACTTTCCAACCAGAAACCAGTATCATGAACCTTTGTCCAATGCAGTACTCTGGAACAGTAGTGTCGTTAATACTCCTAGCTAACAACTAGGGCTGTTACGATTCACTCGCGTATTCTGTGAAACGAACCGTATCCATTCATGAATTGAATTTGTTATTCTTGGTCACTAGAATCGAATATTCATCATGTTCATGAATATGCAGTCATGAGCATTTACATACCCTGACCCTTAAAATATTTTAATCCATCTCATTGTCACATTTGAACAGACACTAGTACCTGGATTAGTGAAGTATATTAATGTATAATAAATTATTAATTTACAAGCCATTTCAAATAATTATTTCGTTATTGATTCACTGAATATCATAAATAATACATCAACTGCTGACTTGTTATTGTATTCGTGAATAAATATTTGTATTTGTTACCCTATATTCATTATATGAATCGTATTCGCCTTATATTCGTTGCAGCCCTAATAACAACCAGTTATAACCACATCTGGTTTCAAACCAAAAAATAATGTATTTTATATTTTTACAATAGAATGTTTGGTGACTTTGACTATGAGGAATGTTAACAGAATAAGACAACGTCTACTTCACACAGTGACCTTGACCATCAAAGTCCCCAAAGTAATGTAGGAGGCACATGAGGTATGAATTGTCTAACATGTCACAAGCACAAGAAAAATCAGTGGTAGAAACTAACCGTTTTAGTCCACTAGTCCTTATGATGATAACGTATAGCAAATCCCTTTAAAATAGAAAATTTCTACTAGTCCTTAGTAAAAGTAATTTGAGGTAGCAGATGTTTATTGTTTTGAAGGTTGTTTAAAAAAAAAAAATTATATATGAGGGAAATGGTGGAATTGTACCGAAGCATGAATATATTGTGATACAGATTTAAAAGTTGCTAGTTATTATAAGTATTTAGGACTATTAATGTCCTCAAGACGAAATTGGTCCAAGGCTTGTAAGCACTACGGGCAACTAAGGCAATGTTTCCTGTTTAGGAATTATTTAAGGAAAACACATTTATCTTACTTTCCACAGCAAATTCTATATTTAATGGTAAAATTGCATTGTTATTGTTATTGTTATTATTATACGGCTCGGAAATAAGGGGCATTAAATATTATGATTCCATTGAAAAAGTTCATATTTTGTATTTTAAGCGATTTTTATGCATTGGTAAATGTGCTTCAAATAAGGTGCTTGGTGAAACAGGTCACTGTAGTATAGATATATACCCTGATACCTTAACTATTGAGCATTTGGGCAAGGACTATGTGACTAGTGCCAATTTCTAACACTGAAAAACCAATGGTGTTGTAGCTCTTTGAGCAAACACATCAAGCAGCCATGTTACAAGGCAATGATTGCTTCCAAATATACTATTGCTTTGTTCAGTCAGGGTTAGAACAATGTTTCTTTTCAACAGTAAAACATTATCTGATGGATATGACAATTGACATTCACGTAATGATAAAGCGGTAGTCCACAAGAAAGTGTTGCTGGCTCTTCCTGAAGATAACTCTCAGACAAGGGGACTGTAAACATAGACATCCCGTATTCCAATTACCAAAATTATTGACAGTCTACTAAGTCATGCAGCCTGATCAAACAACCATTCAGTTCTCTCTTACAAAGTGCAAAGGTTGGCTGGTGACCTACTGAAACCTAGAATACTCAGGTGTTCCCCAAATCTTTACTCCACATGGCTCTACTTCATTCAATACAGTTTTTGGATGTTAAATAGGTTCATATTCCTATCCCATCCAAAACCGAACCACTTGTCCAGCATGAATTAATTAAACTAACATTGCCTCCTGTTGGTGTTAGCACCACATGGGAAACAAATGGCATTTGCCTGAAGCATCTACTCTTCGTTATCAAAGGTTATCTGTATATTGGGTTTATCCTTCAGGACAAGCAAACATGACGCTTATTTAAGTGTTTCCAGTTCTAATCACAAACGCTGATATAAAAACTTTCTAGTAAACTGCAGGTATACTAGAATATAAACATGTAAATGTTTGTTTGCTCGCTGTGAGAGCTATATTTTCTATGAACCGTACCACCTTCATGCTGGTTATATTTTATCTAGTTACCCCTAGATAAAATATTGTATATATATATATATTGTTCTCTGTGATTACCGTCGTCTCTTGTCGACACCTTACGCAAAGTAACTGAGAATGAATTTGACGCCTTTTGAAAAATGAAAATCCAGCTCAGCACGAGGAGGTATATTTCGTGGTAATAGCAAGACACGAAGCATTTAGTGGAATCTACGATACCATGCCATATGAAGCTTGCGTCTTTGATACAAAATCACAAACACACAGAAGTGGTTGCCGATCAAAATGAGAACAAGGAAGATCAATTAATTTCGTTCTTCCAGTCTGCAAATGACCTAGTTTTTGAAACAACTCCAACATCATGCACACTCCAGTGTCAACAATAGCACTTACACAAAAATATACCAAACAAATCGTAGATACACTGTTCAGAACTTTGCACGTCTTTCTTCCAGTTCCTAATCGACGAGACGTGTATTTCAGATCGTAAACAAGGCTGTCGTTTGCAATACGTAATGGCTTCCAAATTGGGGTTTCCACGTGTCTGAACACGGTGGACCCGATCAGGGGAGGTAATAAATGCGGGTTTTGTTTTTCCCTACCGTCAGAAAAAGATATTAATTTTTCCAACACTATGATAGTGCCTTGAATCAAATTGTGACACTGTTCTTATGTGAAAGAATAATTTATATCCGATAATTTGAAGGTAGCAGGCGTTTATTGTTTTGAATGTTTTAAAAAAAATAATATTATATACGAGGGAAATGGTGGAATTGTATCGAAGCATGAATATATTGTGATACAGATTTAAAAGTTGCTAGTTATTATAAGTATTTAGGACTATTAATGTCCTCAAGACGAAATTGGTCCAAGGCTTGTAAGCACTACGGGCATCTAAGGCAATGTTTTCTGTTTAGGAATTATTTAAGGAAAACACATTTATCTTACTTTCCACAGCTAATTCTATATTTAATGGTAAAACTGCATTGTTATTATTATACAGCTCGGAAGTAAGGGGCATTAAATATTATGATTCCATTAAAAAAGTTCATATTTTGTATTTAAGCGACTTTTATGCATTGGTAAATGTGCTTCAAATAAGGTGCTTGGTGAAAATGGTCGCTGTAGTATATTTATATACCCCGATCTCATTAAAATCAGACACAAGTTCTCGCTACCGCTGAGGACATCCCATTACAGGTCATGTCAGAACGACTTTTCGCGAACTTTGACCGACCAATGAAAAAACTAACAGGAAGACAACAGTAGCCACTAAGAAGCAGTTTTCTTGAGCCTTGCGGTACTAGTTTCAAACTGGGGACCTCCATTCCAGACTATGCGTTTTAAAGTATTTCGAATCAGTCATACAGCCCGTAACTGTAGTTGTGTGTTAAGGTTTAGAGTTGGCACGACTAGGGTACATATTCCGCTACCAATGTAACAACATGCAACAAGATGTTCGTGCATGGATCTCACAAGCCAACGGTAATGAAAAAGTAGATTTAAATACACATAAACAAAGATTATTTAAAATGTAGATGTATTTCAGCAAAACTGGCACCACCAAATTTCCCCTATCTCAAGCATTATGCTAGTATTGAATCATTCATGATGAGCCAAAATACCCCCCCCCCCAAAAAAAAAACAAACAAAAACAAACCCCAAACCCACAACAACCAAAAAAACCAAAACAACAACACCAAAACAAAAACAACAACAAACCACACAAACAAACAAACAAAACCAAACAAAACACAACCCCCAAAACAAAACAACACATTGCAACAATGTAATTTTTGTGGCAGACAATTTCTTTTTTTTTCAAACAATAGGAAGCATAAATATTTTTTTTAATATTTTCGAGGACAATTTATTTTTTACGATAAAATCCCAAAACTGTCCCACGTACACGCTAGACCATTTCATATTCACATGTAACGTTTCTAAGTTTTATAACAGACAACGTTGTATGAACGTTATAACAGCGTTTATAGTTAGCTGGAAGCGAGTGTGAGAGTATGGTTTTACGCTGCTCTTAGCAATATTGAAACAATGTCACGGCGGGGGACACCAGAAATAGACTTCACACATTGTACCCATGTAGGGAATCGAACCCGTGTCTTCGGCGTGACGAGCGAACGCTTTAACCACCAGGCTACCCAACCGCTCCCAAAAGGGACTTAGAAAACATGTTACTTGAACCATTAAGGGTGTATACACAATTAAAGATCTCTGCAACTCAATAGACCTTATGACTTTTGAAAATTTCAGGAAGAAATATGTTGTTAAAGGTACTTGCTTCGACTTAGTAAAAAATTATCAGGAAAATTCCCAGGGCCCGGAGAGAGACTGTCAACAATACTGTCTGTGTTAGCCAGAACACCGGAAATAAGGTGCTGTTGAATTAGTACACCCGCAAAAGGATGCATAATATTCAACGATATACTTACGAAAGCACAAACTATATCAGCAGTATGTGAAAAAGGGAAAACATTACCGATATCTCACGACCAGGGAAGGTTACAGTTATAGAATATGAACAAAAGACACAAATCTGCTCGATTTCCAATAAAATTTATTCACCAAACTAAAATGAAATACAAAAGATGAAAATAATATACATAAACGTGTGTACTTTTTGTGAGGATGAACCGGAGAATAGAAAACATCTGTTTGGTTTCTGTAAGCACGTGAAAAGGTTTTGGAATGATCTAGGCTTGTTTATTAAAAGAATAGTTGATATCAATGATATCTTCACCGAATGTTGCAGTACTACTGGGAATTAATACTGGCTACAATTTCTTGAATAATATTATCTTATCCGCGAAAAGATATATCTGTATCTCCAGTATTGCATCAATAAACGTAACTTGGTTCTATTCTTAAGAAGGGTTAAAGATCTTGTTCATTGCCAGAAAAAAGCCGGATTACAAAGATTGAGAAACAATGGCGAATTCGATTAGTGAAATACTTCAAAAGAGATATTTGCTACGTATGTACATATACGCATTTATATACACGCTCCGACCATATATGCCCGGTGTAAATGTAATAAAATGAATATTTTACTGTGTAATACATTACATGCACTTTGCCTGACTGCATCTCACAGTCCTATACTTATCCTGACAATGTACGTTATAACAAATATTTCTAACATGTGGAAAGGTAACATCCTTCTCAAATAAGAATTTTTTTATTTTTTTTTCCAATTTTCCAGATTTGTTAGACCCGGTGCAAACAGCCACACGTTGAGTTGTTGGTTTTAATATACCACATATACTCGCTTTGTGGGTAGTTCAGTAATAATTCAGTAATGTCAGTTACATATAAAAACAAGTTTAGGATATTTCGCAAATCTTAGAAAACTGTGACACACCTGCCCCTAATTCTGAGTGAGTGAGTGAGTGAGGCTTTACGCCGCTTTCAGCAGTATTCCAGCAAGCTAACATCGTGGGCTTTACACATTGTGCCCATGTAGGAAACAAACCCGGGCCTTCGGCAAGACGAGCGTCCGTTTTAACTACTAGGCAACACCACCGTCCCCCGCTCTGTAAGTATTTTAGTAATATTGTAGTGATGTCAGGGATTTTATAAAAATGTTTAGTATATATCTGAAGTAAAATAAAAATATGTTTAGGGACGTCTGCTGAAATGTTTTTTAGTTCACTGCGACTCTCGAACAGTCGTGCACGTGGTGTTGTTATTACATATCTTAGTCAGTCTATCGTGGAGACGCAGAAAGTGCAGCTGATAATCATAGACTGAGATATACATCAAACAAGAGGTGAATAAATTCCAATTCTACCATGTGTTGTGTATTGCTTATATACCGCACAGGTGAACGGGCGTAGTAAACTCGTTCTCTGTCGCAAACGTCCCTACGCCGTGTGTCTGTCCACCTAGCACATTTATATGGACCAATACTCCCTTCTGTCTCCAACTATCATTTATGTATTTTAAAATACTTTATCTTAGCAGAAAGAAATACTCTCAATACAGAATTGCGGACGTAGTGTAAATTCTGTGCAAACACAATATGAACATATGTATAAACCTTGTTGCAGGCGAAAGCACTCACTCACGCACGCACGCACTCACTCACGCACGAACTCACGAACGCACTGACTGACTCACGCTCGCACGCACGCAACAGCTCAACAGTATTTCTCGAAGCACGTTCCATCATTGATCCAATGTTTAGTTCCCACACAAGAATGTCTGTATGACACCATTCCTCTGACAAACATACATCCGACCTTTCTCATCAGTACACATTCCATATGGATAACACATATGGTCCTGGGATGTCAGTAGTTCTTTTACAAACTTTCCTCTCTCCGTCAGATAGATGACTCTCTGCCTGTTGTGGTCTGCAACCAGGATGTCGCCTTTGCTGGTACTAGTGATACCATAGGGACACGCCAGTCCTGTGTATCCTGTAGGGCTGTACTTGAACACCACATCTCCCTCGTGAGTCAAACACATGACACATTTGGATCCATTGTCAGACACCAGGATGTTTCCTGTCCTCGTGGTACAGAGGAAGTCGGGACGCTTTAAGATGTCGTGACCCTCTTGGAGTGGACAGATTGACCTCAGGACATTTCCCGCCATATCCAGGATATCAATACAGGGAGACTGGGAACTAGCTGCTAGTGTTGATGGTGTCAGGGACGTTATGCCCCAGTACCTTTTGTTGGTTTTGATGGTTGATAGCAGCACCAGGTCAGGGTTGACTTGTACTGTTACAATCTGATGGGCATCTTGAACAGTGACAGCCACCTGGTTGTGTGTCAACTTCGTAATACCATAGGGAGATCCACCAAGCAGGAGCTCACTGTGACCTTGTTGATTGTTCCAGGTGTAGAAGGAATCCACACTGTGGTTAGACTTATCTGTGACTACAACCGTGTCAATACCATTAACCACAATCGCTACCACATCCCACGGCTCTGCCTTACATTTGCCCCTTTCACTTGTGACGTTAAGGGTGCCTTGTAAAACAGGAGTAACTCTCTGGCCCCGAAGCCCTACTATGTCTTTTGGCTGAGGAAGAGCAGCCTTCATTTCCCGCAAGTTAATGGTGTCTTGTAGCACAGGAGTCATTTTCAGGTCCAGCGCGTTAGTGGTGCCCTGTGACACAGGAGTAGTTTTCAGGTCCAGCACACCCTCATACAGGACGTCTATCTCACCCAGCTGTAGATCGTCCAGAGATTTACTTAGCTTGTCCGTGTACTGTCTGACCATAGCTATTCTCTCTCTCTCCTTCAGGTCTGAGTCTCCGACAGCTTCCACATCACCCGCCTCACACCCCTGATACATCTCATACACATCCATGTCACACTCCGATTGTAGAGCCTGGTCAATCAGCTCAGCCTGTTGTTGGTACATCTGTACTGACATATCACCTGACTTAATATCTGCCTTCAGTTGTCCAAGGTGTTTGTCTGACATCTCTTTCAGTTGATCAAGAAGATCCTTTTCCCGGAGTTTAATCCGTTCTATCGCTTTGACCTTTGCTGAGTTAATATCTGATTCCATTTGTTTAAATCGACAAGTTTCGTCCTCCAGCTTTGACTTCTTTGTCTCAATCTCTTTGCTGATTTCGTCTTTTCTCCGTGACAGATTGCCCGTCGCCCGCGTCAGTACTGCTTTCATTGCCCGTATCTCCACTCCCAAGCTGACAACAGACTCACATTTCCTGTGGTAGATTGTACAACAGGTTTGACAAACTGCTTTCTTGCAATCTTTACACAACAACTTGATGCTTTCATCCGTGTGTTCTTTACACATGACCGTTCGTCTTCGTTTGACCTTGACCTCCCCAGAAAGGTCAGTGACGTCATGATGACGAGTAGCTGGGATGAGACTGTGAACTTTGACACATCTTCCACACAGTGCATCATCACACACATAGCACCAAACAGAGGCAGGAGTTGTCTCCCCTTCCACTTTACAATAGCTGCAGTTGGTTGTATCTGAAAGATGAGGTTATACGTTATTAGTGTTTAACATACAATACACTGATGTACCAATGCCTGATTGTACAAAGTAACTAAATACAAATAATATTTGAAATCATAGCTGCCAAAAACTAATATTTCTATGGTGCTTGGAATTCCAGAATACTGTTTAGAACCTCACACGCTGATATTTGGCGTCAATAATGGAAGTCAAGAAGCACCAAAAGAAATTGTATGATATCTGAGAAATAATCAAGAATATACTGAGCCATTGTATCATACGTGAGTATTTTACATTTGTCTACCTTTAGAGGCTGGGCCAAACGCGTCCAAGAGTCCCTGGATGACAAAGATAGGATTGACATCATCCGCCCACTCCTCCACTGGTCTCTCAGGAGCAGACACTTTCGTCATCTTGTTGCAGTATGGACAGAGGAGGGACTTGGCTCTGATGGCTTCTGGTCTGGTCTTGGTGTAGTTGACGACACATTTCCGACAGAAGGTGTGGTTACACACAAGTGTGCAGGGATTAGTGAAGACATCAGAGCATATGACACAGGTTAAGTAATGTTCAGTGAGCTTCTGAGAGGTCGCCATCTGAAAGAGGACGAACAGTCTTGAAGTTCTCATCACCACACCCGTTGTATCAAATGTGGCAATCCCAAAATAAACTTTGAATACTTCAACTTTCAAAGCACCGATCAGTTAAGTATAAGGTCACTCAGAATTACATGTACGCTCGGTAAGTGAAAGAAATAATTCGATGTTGAGGAAACAGGTTTTCTGTTGTGAAAAGGGGATTCATGTTAACCAATTTGAAGTCCAGTAGGTCTGATATCCGCACTTTAAACTTGATTGTTGAGGAGCACACGGGTGGCCCGATCATACTAGGCGTCGCAATGATTAAACCGCGCAGAGTTGCGTCCCTTAGGCGTTGCAGTAACCTAAGATCGTTGGAATCCCAGATTGGTTCTGATTCTGTTTCTTGATTTGTCAGCATCATACCCGTGCTCGCGCATTTCGCATTTTTGTATATCAATACACATTAATAAATATCCCTTCTAGTCATAAACTGCTCTTTTTAACTGACTAAAGTGACCACAGAAAGCCTATACAAGACATCGTAAAATCCTGAATTCTAACTGTTTCCCCATCAGTATCGATAAAAAATAAGTAAAAAAAATAATTTGAAACACGCTTTTTTTGGTTGTTTTTTTGTTAATGCCAGTCATCATAATTCTCGATTAATATCCCACGGACCTGTTAATAATAGATATGATGAGCAACGACCCACAACGCCGGGGCACGATGACACACTGTCAACCCAGACACTGAGTCTAACCACCCAATTCACTTTGTCACTGCATCCTGCAGTCACCATATACGATATATATTCAACAGGTAACCTGACGAAATGTGAGTATAGAGGGCGCTTTTCTATTGCATACTTCGAATTCATGTCTTCTCAATGTTTGAATTAATAGGTGGAATCATATGAATAATGCTTCCACGGTATTAGCGCTAGATGATGGTTTGTCTCATAGTGACTGACTGAGTATAGTTTTACGCCGCCTTGAGCAATGTTCCAGCAATATCACCAGGACACCAGAAATAGGCTTCACACATTGTACCCATGTGGGGTATCAAACCAGGGTCTAATAGCTGGAATATATTGCTGAGTGCGGCGTTAAACAACCAACCAACCAACCAACCAACCAGCCAGGGTCTAATAGCTGGAATATATTGCTGAGTGCGGCGTTAAACAACCAACCAACCAACCAACCAACCAACCAACCAGGGTCTAATAGCTGGAATATATTGCTGAGTGCGGCGTTAAACAACCAACCAACCAACCAACCAACCAGCCAACCAGCCAACCAGGGTCTAATAGCTGGAATATATTGCTGAGTGCGGCGTTAAACAACCAACCAACCAACCAACCAACCAACCAACCAACCAGGGTCTAATAGCTGGAATATATTGCTGAGTGCGGCGTTAAACAACCAACCAACTAACCAACCAACCAACCAGGGTCTAATAGCTGGAATATATTGTTGAGTGCGGCGTTAAACAACCAACCAACCAACCAGGGTCTTTGGCGTAACAAGCGAACGCTTTAACCACAAGGCTACCCCACAGTCTCTTGTCTCACACTGAAGTGATTTAAAGTATCAAGGTGATAATAATGATTTGTCCACATGAAACATAAATAGATCAAAACCGGTCGTCTTTGATCTCGAATTTAATCAGCGAAACGTCTGATCTGATAATAGCAGATTCATCCATTCATGACATATCACTTATTATTCAGATATTGTCAAGTCAGTGAGTGTGTATGGTTTTACGCTGCTTTTAGCAATACCCAGCAATATCACGGCGGGGAACACCAGAAATGGGCTTCACACATTGTACCCATGTCGGGAATCGAACCCGGAATGTCGGCGTGACGAGCGAACTCTTTCACCACTAGGTTACCCGACCGTCCCAGACATTGTAAAGAGTTCGCGTATGGTCGTGGGAGATGGCAACGGATGGCGTGGCAGTCATAAGCCATACTGGACGGTTTGATTAGAGAGTTACCTCTAGCAGAAGAATTTTTAAATAGAGTTTGCAGGAAGAGTATTATGCATGCGTGTTTACCTTTTCAGCTATAGACAAATCTGTAATGAGTGTCCGATTACTGCCGATGTCCAGATACTACCGAACTCTCTACATGGAGATATAGATTGTGCAAAACATTCATTGGCGACAAGACCGAGTGTCCAAGGCCCAAGTGTGGTATGAACTGTGTTTACTCCATGCATACACCACGTCAACGATAACAGCTCGGATTCGTTAAAAGACTTTTTCATCAAACATTTCTTGGGAAATTTTAAAAGGATTTTGACTAGTCTGGCTTGCTAGAGGGAGAACTGAGAACGCCAGAACATGATATCATTATCATAACGAAAGTAGGGTATAAATATCTAACTTCCGGGTTGGCAACGAAGAACCAATACAGAACACAATCAGGTTAATTACAGTGTAATTACAACAGTGTGTTAATTTTTCACTAACAAGCAGTTCGTGACAATATATATACATATCTATGAACACTCGGATATCGTGTTTTAATCTGAACAGTGAATAGCGCGATGGAATGACCCAGTTCATAACGAAAGTAAGCACACGAAATAATCGAAACTTTGAAATCACAAAACAGGGAATTCCTGACAGAAGGCAACACGTGTACCCTACGAGACTGTTTGTCAGGTACTTCCTGACCCAAGAAATTCAGAAATCAACACACGTCCTTCGGGGGTATGATATACTCATCTCCGAGTTCCCAGCAAACCCACACCTACCTTGCAGTTGGCCTCAGTCCACAGTTACGCCCCCACTCGTTTTACCCGGAAGGAAAATAGGAGAATATAGTGCCCAATGTAAATTGGCTGTTCAGCCTGTACCAAGGATTTAGAGTGACTTCTGATAGCCTAAATGAAAGATTAGACATTGTATTATGTTGTATGTTTTATCGACAATCTGTACATGGTATTGACACCAGCTTCGCATGATTTGATCCCAAGTTCAAGGCCGTTGTGTGTGTTTCGGCTAATAACTACCTGTGACCATTGTTGACAGTGGTTACTGCGAAATCAAGATGGTGGTCTTTGCCGATACTTTGCGGTTTAAGATAGATATTCTTTATTTCCTCCAATTGAATGAAGATAACAATATGCAGATATAATTATGTTACATGTTTAACGTGAATTGGGGTTATATTTACACATACAAGTTCTTAGCAGGTATCGCCATATCCTAATAAAGCGGCTTACATTAATTATTACTTCTGCCCACACATCTCTTTCAAGTTCCATAATACATTCTACTAGACATCCACCAAGTAAAAACTCAAGAATGACATTTCTCCTAGATTTTAACAAAAATATTTACATCCAGGATATCACATATGGTGTTCAAAAAGTAAATTTGGGTCATTCATATTGATGGTACAAGACATAAACACGTGCTTTACAATATCATTGGCAACAGTTTTACAATAGCATTCTCTAGAGACAGTTTCAGCTGATCCGTAGAATACAAGTCTTGCAATATTAGTTAAATGGTCATACTTCTCCATGGCTAGTTTCCAGAGATAGTGTTTATTACTTGATCTTATACTAACATATCTTGACAGACTGAGTCTTGAATTAAGGTGGACTTAAAATACACCATCTTGATGAGATTTAAAAGTATAAATCATGGCCTTGGACCAGCATTTCTTATTAATAAATTAACAATTATTGACATAGTTAACAACTGTACCATTTAGGTTATACTTCTGTTCAAACTGTAGCATATTATATTTCGGAGAATTTCTACTCCTTAGATTGCATGTAAAACTATCTGTACATGCACATAAATTGACCCAGGCTAACTAGAAACACTACTTTAAAACCACAGTTATACTTTGCAGTATATAGCCTTCCTTAGAAGTAGAGTGCTCTTTTATCTATGTAATACTGTAGTGGCATGATGCTGATAGCATCCGATACAACAATACTGGGAGTACGCCTGTGTTGCCCCTGAACCTTTTTACAAAATTGACGTACAACTTCAAGCATTTCATAGAGGCCACATGATAAGATTACCCTCTCCCATATACGTGCTGCAGATATAGGATGGAGACCACCAAAATACAACCCATTATTATGATAAGTGTTGATGATTACATGCAACTCTTCACATGCAGATTTTGTACGTTCAAGAGATGATAAACACCTGCATATTTAATAGATTTCCTTTATGCAACATACATATCGCCAATTGATACAAAAGTGGTTTGAACCTTATTGTTTCAGCATCCAAAGTATAGTGAATGAGTGAGTGAGTATGGTTTTACGCCGCTTTTAGCAATATTCCAGCAATATCACGGCAGGGGACACCAGAAATGGGCTTCACACATTGTACCTATGTCGGGAATCGAACCCGGGTGACGAGCGAACGCTTTAACCACTAGGCTACTCGACCGCCCC